CACGTCTGAACGTCTGCATCCCAGTGATTCCCCTTTCTCTGGGAACTGCACTGGGGTGACCCAAAAGTCAGCAGGGAAGGGAATTCCTTCCTCTCTGATCCTAGGAAGCAATTCAGGTTCCGGTCAGATGATCAAGGTCTTAGAGCCCAACCGAAGGACTGGAAACGAGGATATCTGGGGCAAACTATGTGGCTGGTCCCCTTAGGGTGAGTTCAGAGACTGAAAATATTCAAGTGTCATGAACAGGTTTACCAGAAGGCCGTCCCTGTAGAAGAGGCTCTTTATCACCCCCTAGACAGGGTGACCCCTGGGCTGACTGGCACTCATGAAACAAAGCAGCAGAGAGGCAGGAACAGAGGTTATGCATGAGCGGAACAGTCAGGGCTTTCTTTCATCAAGCCTGGCACAGGTCTGTCAATGAGCCAGTGACGGTGACTACCCTGAGCCCCTCATACAATACCAGACCTCAAGGACAACCAGCCAGTTCTCTGGTGGCAGGTCAATGGAGGGGACAGAGTCACGGGAATAGGCACTTACTTGGGAATCGGATTTGTATTCCCTGCCTGTCATGTCTCTGTCAATGCTACCACCTATGGACCCATGAAATGTCTTCTAGGTGTGCCATTGTGTCCTAGACCACAGTATCTCCACATAGAAGCCCTTCCCTGGGGACGCCTGGGGGGGGTTCATTCAGTTGAGCATCTGACTTTGGCTCAGGTCATGATCTCAGGGTCCTGGGATTGGGCCCCGTGTGGTGCTCCCCTCTGAGCATGGGACTCCCCACTCAGCTTGTGCCTCTGCTCCTCCCCCTTCTTGTTCTCTCTCTCTTAAATAAATAAAATCTTTTTTTTTTTTTAAGATTGTATTTATCTGAGAGAGAGACAGAGATAGCACAAGCAGAGCAGAGGGAGAAGGACAAGCCGACTCCCCGCTGAGCAGGGAGCCCTATGTAGGACTCCATCCCAGGACCCTGGGATCATGACCTGAGCCAAAGGCAGATGCTTAACTGACTGATCCACCCAGGCACCCAGATAAAATCTTTAAAAAAAAGAAGAAGAAGAAGAAGAAAGAAGAAAGAAGAAGAAGAAGAAGAAGAAGAAGAAGAAGAAGAAGAAGAAGAAAGAAGAAGAAGAAGAAGAAGAA